GCTGATTTTTTTTGACTTATTGTAGAGATGAGGTCTCGCTGCCCAGGCGGGTCTCGAACCTGCGGGCTCAGGCCGTCCACTCACCTCCGCCTCCCAAAGGCGCGGGATGACAGGCTGAGCCACCGAGCCTGGCTCATTCATTTTTTTAAAACTTGCATTCCCTACCTCCATAAACACCCCCCCTCCATGCCAGAATCCTGGGGCTCACTGGGCAATGTCCCCCCTCCCGTATCCCCCCTGCCTGGTGGGCGCACACCTCTCTGAGAGTCTACTCACTCAGTGTTCCTGGACCCACCTGTTTCTTCCTGGGATCTGCCACCATCTCACTGGTCTCCTCGCCTCCAGAGTTAGCTGCCACCATCTTCCAATTGTTCACTCTGCAGCTACATAGACTTTGAAGAATGCAAATACCTTGGAAGGGAGGCTTGAAATATCAAGAACTGCGGCCAGGGTCTAAGGCTGGGGGCTCCAGCAGGGAACTCCACTTCAGCTTCTGTCCTGGGTTTTTATCTGTGGTGTGGTCTTGGGCATCTCAGCTATCCTTTCCAAGTCCACATTTCCTCGTCTTAAAATGAGGCCAATAATGGTATCTACCTTCTAGAGCTGTTAACAGGATTCACGGGTGAAGGTGTTCAGGGTGGCGCCAGGGTGTATTGGTCCGTTTTGCGTTGCTTTTTTTTTTTTTTTTTTTTGAGTTAGAGTTTCACTCCGTCACCCAGACTGGAGCGCAGTGGCCGCTCCCGGCCACCGCAGCCTTGACCCACTGGGCTCCGGCGGTCCTTCCGCCTCAGCCTTCCGAGTAGCCGGAATTACAGGTGTGCGCTACCACGCCCAGCTGATTTTTTGATTTACTGCAGAGACGAGGTCTCGCCGCCCAGGCGGGTCTCGAACCCGCGGGCTCAGGCCATCCCACTCACCTCAGCTTCCCAAAGGCACGGGATTACAGGCTGAGCCACCGAGCCCGGCTGGAGGCCACATTTCAACAGGGACTAGGAGGGGACGGCATCCAAACGGTACTGCTGGGACACAGTTGGCCATGAACCTGCGCTTGTGGCGAGGAGGATGATGGCAATGGTGGTGATGGAGAGTGTGATAAGGGTGTCTTCCAAACGGAAACCCCTCACTCGTGTCCTGCCCCCTTGGCGTAAAGTTCTCCGTCTGTGGCCCGGCTCACAAGCCCCTTGGTGACCTGGCCCTGTCCTGTCCCCTCTGTCTCCCTCCCTCTGCTCCTAGCTCATTCTCCGCCCTTCAGCCATTTGGACACGAGTGCCAGGATGGGACCCGGGAGACC